CCACTCAACAGGGTGAGCCAATCAATAGGGTCAGGACCCAAACTGAGGAAACATCAACTTCGGGGAGGAAAGGCACTCCAGCACCCACTCCTACCAAATAGTCATAGGATGGAGAAGCACATGAGAAAATATATCAAGAATACCTTTGTTTTTTGACAACGTATTTCATAGGGTGATCTGTTGACTTTATCCATCTTTATTTTGGTGCTATTATGTGTCTGTCTTTTATTTAAAGACCATTCGTGGTACTTAGTTAATATTATATATTCCACATTGTGAAATAAGTTAAACAATGGGGAAATGATCTTTTATGTAACAGTTAACTTGCTTTCCCATAAAAGATAATGAGTCTAAATATCTCTCACCTAAAGAAATAGTTAAAAATGTAAGTTGGCAGTCAACACACAAGGGCTAAATGGCTGTAAGAACTTTCATCTTCAAAACAAGGTACTAAGTCTTTAAATGGATTTTCCCTTTCAGTCAGTCCGTCAACAAATATTTATCAGTCTACCATATGCCAAGGGCTGTGCTAGTGCTGGGGTACAATGATGAACAAGATAGATAAAGAGGAAATTAAGACAGAGGAACAGGGGAGAGATTAGTTTTTTTAATTCATTAAGAACTATTTGAGACAGAATAGTCAAGAATGACCTCTCTGAGGCTGACTGTTTAAACTGATGTTTAAACTGAAACTGAAGCAAATGCAGTCTTTGAAGTGATGAAGGACAAGGGAGACGGGTGTGTTGTGTGTGTTCGGTGGTGGAGGGTGTCCAAAATGAGCCTGGAGAAGAGCGCTAGAAGACATTGATGGGTTTTAAGGAGGGAAGGAACATGATCTCGCTGCATAGGGTGGGAAGGGGAAGCAAGGAAATGAGTTAACAGAGCATATTTGCATAGTCTTGCAAGATGCAGAAGGCTTACACAGGGTGGTAGTTGATAGGGTGATAGCACATAGATTTACGATGTATTTTGAAGTGGAGGCAACAGGACTTAAAAATAATTTGACATGGGGATGGAGTTGAGAAAAAGATTATCCAGGACTCCCAGGCTTCTGGCTGAGGATCATGTCCCTCAGTTTATTTCCTTCAAGTCACTTACCACAATTAAAGCAACTTAAGCCATTATCTTGTTATTTTATTTGTTTAGTTGTTTACTCTGTCCATCAGAATAATGCTGTCCAATTGAAAAGTAATGCATGATCCAGTAATCCCACTCCTGGGCATATATTCAAAGAAAACCATAATTCAAGAAGATACATGCACCCCAGTGTTTACAGCAACACTATTTACAATAGCCAAGACATGGAAGCAACCTAAATGTCCACTGACAGATGAAAGGATAAAGAAGATGTGGTACATATATACAATGGAATATTACTCAGCCTTAAAAAAAATGAAATAATGCCATTTGCAGCAAGAGGGATGGACATAGATATCATCATATTAAATGAAATAAGCGGGAAAGAAAAAGACAAATATCATATGATATCGCTTATATGTTAAAAAAAGATGCAAATGAAATTATACACAAAACAGAAATAAATAGACCCACAGACATAGAAAACAAACTTATGGTTACCAAAGGGGAAAGGGAGGGGAGGGATAAATTAGGAGTTTCAGATTAACATATACACACTACTATATATAAAAGAGATAACCAACAAGGACCAACTGTATAGCACAGGGAACTATACTCAATATTTTGTAATAACCTATAATGGAAAAGAATCTGAAAAAGAATATATAGATATATATATAAAGAATATATATATGTATAACTGAATCACTTTGCTGTACAACTGAAATTAACACAGAATTGTAAATCAACTCTACTTCCACTTAAAATTTTTTTTAAAAGTAATGCAAAACACATAGGTAATTTAAAATTTGCTAGTAGTCACATTAAAAAAGATGTGAAATTAGTTTTCATGATATATTTTACTTAAACCGATATATCCATAATATTATTTCAATAAGCAAATAAAATAAGAAATAATGGGAGGGGCTTCCCTGGTAGCACACTGGTTAAGAATCCGCCTGCCAATGCATGGGACATGGGTTCGAGTCCTGGTCCAGGAAGATCCCACATGCTGCAGAGCAAACTAAGTCCGTGTACCACAACTACTGAGCCTGCGCTTTAGAGCCCGTGCTCTAGAGCCCACGAGCCACAACTACTGAAGCCCATGAACCTACAGCCCATGCTCTGCAACAAGAGAAGCCATCGCAATGAGAAGCCCACACACTGCATTGAAGAGTAGCCCCCGCTCGCCGCAACTAGAGAAAGCCCGGGCGCAGCAACGAAGACACAGCGCAGCCAAAAATAAATAAGTAAAGTAAATTTGTAAAAAAAATAGTGAGAGATCTTACTGTTCTTTTTGTACTGAGTCTTCAAAATACAGTGTGTGTTTTACACTGACAGTGCACCTCAGTTCCGACTAGCCACATTTCAAGTCCTTAATAATCGCCTGTGGCTAGTGGCTATGTACTGGACAGTGCAGATCTGGAGCAAGAGCCACTGAAGGCAGGCACATTCAGTCTAGTTCACTGTTTCTCTCCAGCAACCGAAACGTTCAGTGGCACACTGAGAATTTGATATGTTTTGAATGAATGAATAAATGCCTGGCGATGGGGGGTTTATTGGAAGCTGTAGTTTTGGGAGTGGGTTCAAAGCTTCCATTTTGGACTCATTAGGTATGAGGTGTCTACAAAAACTCACAGTGGAGATGTCAAGAAAGGAAGTGGAGATGAGAATCTGGGACTGAGAAGAGAAATCTAGGTAGAGGTGTAATTTTGGCATCTTGATGGGTTCTGAATCCAAGAGCATTATTTCTGGGGTGCCTTGGGAAAGAGTACAAGAGAAAAGGAAAAGCCCAGGATCCTACTCGCAGAGATACCAAGTTAAATGTTGAGAATGTTGAGTGAGAGAAAAAGAAAATCAAGGAAGTGTGGTCATGGCAAGAAATCAAAAGGGGAAGCATTTCAAGGAGAAAGGAGTAGTCAACCCTACTGAAAGGTCTGGTTAAAAAATAATAAAAGAACAAAGAAGACAAGAGCAATGAGATCTTAATAATCCTGACACTCATTCCACAGTCGTGGTCTCTTTTTAGCCTTCCTTATAATGTTGTTAGTCAGAGAATGATTGGGGTTTCTTTTTAACACAAAATTTGAACATTTTAAAGAAGTTTGGCCTCCAAAAGATCAAGAAACCCAGCTAGTTTATGGAAGAACCAGCTCAAGAATCCAAGACCCTTAGTCCAGCATTATTTAAAGAATATACTTTAAAGCACTGGAAATAACAAGGGACCATGGAGTTTACGGAGGGAGCATGACTGTCTGTGACTTCACCAGGTCTAGGTGGTTTGAGAGCGGGTGTACACTTCTTTCAAGTATGGAACTAGACCAAGGTTACATGATTGGGATTTGTTGCAAGTTTCCTAAGTGCCTTCTGCCCTTCACTGATAACAGTTAGAATTCTTAACACACCGTTCGTCATAGAACTCCATTTCTCAACCTGTCTTAGGCAATGTTATTCTACTACTCCTGCAGGGCATTAATATTAATTAAAAACAACTTTATTCAAGAAAAAGGTCAGTTACAAACATTTAGCAAGTGTGTTCTTATGGGTAAATCAGGCTTTCTCTGCTGTCTTTCAAAACCCAAGGAATGAAATGATCTCATCTAAACTCTGTGGCTAAGTAGTTGCGTGACCCTGAGCGAGATTTTACCTTTCCTGTACCTAGCTGTTCTTATCTACAAAACAGAGGGGTTAAACCAGATGATCTCTACTTCGTCAAATAATTTATGATTTAACGTTATAGTTAATTAGGTTTCCTTCAGTCCACATGTTTAACTTCAAATTTGATCAGTGTGAAAAGATCATCCTAAAGGAGTCAAGAAACCTAGGAATGAATTCCAAGTTCACCATCAGGTAGATCCGCAATCACTGTCCCCGTGTGTTAAAGGGGATGGTGACTCTCAGGCTCATCTCCCACGCGGCTGTTTTGAGGACTGAACCAGATAAGTCAAGTGAATGTTTTGTAATCTGTATAGTTTCAGAGAAATTAGAAGTGCAATTATTGTTAAAGCAGGTGTCTGAAACACGGTATATATTATCCCTCCCAACAAATAACAGGCTGAGTCCCTGTTATTTATCCTTAGGGCATAAGGCTTGTTACTTTTGTTGAGTAGATTATGGTATTGGAATATGCTCAAAACGAGAATGGAGATGAACCTCCTGATGTCTCCAGAGAGCGCCTCCCTTTGAATGTTTACAAGAAAATAATGGGAGAAAGAAAGAGGGAAGGAAGAAAGGGAGGGAGGGAGGGAGGAAGGAAAGAAGAAAGAAAGAAAGAAGAAAGGGAGAGAGAAAGGAAGGAAGGAAGGAAGGAAGGAAGAGAGAGAGAAAGAAAGGAAAGGAAGGAAGGAAGAAAGAAAGAAGAAAGAAAGGGAGAGAAAGAAAGAAAGGAAGGAAGGAAGGAAGGAAGGAAGGAAGGAAGAGAGAGAGAAAGAAAGAAAGGAAAGGAAGGAAGGAAGGAAGAAAGAAAGAAAGAAAGAAAGGGAGAGAAAGAAAGAAAGGAAGGAAGGAATGAAGGAAGGGAGAGAAAGAAAGGAAGGAAGGAAGGAAGGAAGAAAGAAAGAGAAAGAAAGAAAAAAAAAGAAAGGGAGAGAGAAAGTGGGAAGGAGGGAATTCACAGGCAGAGGAGGAAGAAAGGCCATGGCAAGGCAAATTTAAGGAAATAAAAGGCGAGTTAGGAGAAGTAGCAGGGGTGGGGAGGCGAAGTGGGCAGCAGGGCAGGAACAGGAGCCAGTTAGCCCGGGGGCGGGGGGCTGGGGTGGGTGGCGACTCAGTGGCTAGTCCAGCCACTTGCCAGGCAGGCACCAGGCGGAGGAGGAGGGTGAGGGTGGGGCTTGGCGAAGGGCAAAGGCTGGGCAAGACTTAAAAGGGAGATGACCCTGGCTAGTTGGTGCCGCCTTTGACCTCCGACGCCCGGGGCAAGGGGACCCAACGGGGGAAAACGAGAGAAAAGGGCCACCGCTGAGACAGTCCCGCGGGCTCGCGAGGGAGGCGAACGGACCGGAGAGGGGAGACCCCTGGGAGCGCCCGGCACCCCGCCAGCATGTGCGAGCTATACAGCAAGCAAGACACCCTGGCGCTGAGGAGGAAGCACATCGCGTGAGCGCTCCCCAGCCCCGAGGAAAGGCGCAGAGAGGGGGAATCACCGGCGCGGGGGTGCGGAGAGCCGCAGCCGGGCAGGGAGCGGGCCAGCGGGCTGCTGCCGGCGGGGTGCGGGACCGCCACCCGCCCGCCGCACCTGCGCACGCGCGCCGCCGCCCGCCCGGAGCGCCCCGCCTCGCCTCCGCCCGAGGGGGCTGCCGACCAGCCGGCTCCAGAGCGGTCCCCGCGCTCTGCAGCCCGCCGAGGGGGTGAGGGCTGCTGGCCGGCCGGCTGGGGGAATTGACCGTGAAGGTTGAGAGCCGTTGAAGTAGAACACCGTTCCAGCGATGGGCTCTGGGAGGGAGACGGGTAGCTCTCCGCCGCTCCCACCACCTCGAAAGTTTTAGAAAACTGAACTCCGAAATATTTTTGACGATGGCAATGAAAACTCATTATGACAACTTTTGTTTAAAGTGAACTTTTTCTTCTTGCACGCTTGGTTAAGAAGTAAAAGGTTAATCCAGCCAGTAAAAAAACTTTGAAACCACTTTCTTAAGAGTAAGATACCACTTACTCACCTTGGTCTCCCCAGCTGTGCCCTCATTACAATTTAAAGATGCAGTGTTTTCTCCCGTCTACTTTTGTTTTACTCGTGTTATAGACGACTTGGTGAGCGTACAGGACCGAACTTTAGGTCAGACCTGGACTCTGGTCCTAGTAGTGTCAAGTTACCTTGTGATCTGATTTGAGATTTGATCTGATCTCAACCCAGGAGGTTTCTAGGTGGTTTAGGAGACTAGTTAAATCTCTCTCAACCCCCGCAGTAGGGTCAAAATAGTCAGATACCTCATTACCGGATCACCTCCTTCCCTTTTTCTAATCAGCACTCCTTTCTGTTAGTTTTCAATCCTATATAGTTAGATTCCAATGAAAACCTAATGATTTCTGACGTGAGCAGAACAAAGTCTGTGAAAGGAGGAATGGTAGCCATGGAATGGCTGAGAAAGAATTTCACCTGAAGTCTGAGTGAGAAGATGGGAAGTACATTAACAAGGAGGCAAGGTGAAGTCCGAAGTTTTCAGCCCACATTCATAACGAAGGGTTTTTCTGAATTTTAACTTGTAGGTATAAACTAACAGCTGAATTTGAACCAAGAAGAAATTCTCATTAAATATTAGTTTCATCTTAGCTGATGATGCTTAATCTTAGGCAATTTTAAAATTTAATTACCTATTCACAATAATCACAATACTTTCTAAACAGTTGCATATCCATTTAATATGTATCTAATTACCCTCTAAACTACCTCCAATGCACGTGGTATTTTTTTTGTGCATGCAAAATCACCAAAATAAAAATAATATTTTGTTTTAGTTTCTAAATGTCCATAGAACCAAGTTCAGAAATCTTTGTGATGTTCCTATGTTGCTAAAATCTGTACTCCAGCCAGCCATCCAAATAACCAAAAATATGGGTGACTCTTTATTATGCTGAAAAGAGTGGATTAAAGGGTTAGAATAATAATTGGATTTTATTATTTAAGAAAGGGAAATCCATTTGATGCAGGACAAATACCAATCAAAAGACATGAAAATGATCTGTAAAATCTCCTGCCTAGTATTTCACACTAAGTTATTTGTATTTAGCTTTTAGTGCTATTCATTTCTCTACAAATTAGATTAGAGGGAGAGATTAGATTAGCAAGCAAGCCCTGTTTTGGGCTATGGCATAAGGCAGTCCACCTTTTGTTTTTTCTTCCAATTTTATTGATATATAATTGACATACAGCACTGTATAAGTTTGAGTTGCACAGCATAATGATTTGACTTACATTATGAAGTCATTATCCCAATAAGTTTAGTGAATATCCATTTCATATTGATACAAAATTAAAGAAATCGAAAAAAAAATTTTTTACCTTGTGATGAGAACTCTTAGGATTTGCTTTCTTAACAACTTTCGTGTATAACATACAGCAGTGTTAATTATCTTTATCATGTTGTACATATAAATTATATCCCTAGTATGAGTTTTTCTATGAGTTTATTTTTGAAGTATAATTGACCTACAACACTATGTTAGTAACTATCACACAACATAGTGATTCAATATTTCTGTACATTTCAAAATGTTCACCATGATAAATCTAGTTACGATCAAGACAGTCTACTTTCAAATTCTGGTTTTCTCACTGGCTGTGTAACCTTGAACCAAGCTTCTTAATTTTTCGGTGTCTGTTTCCTCAACTATAAAAATGAGAATGATAATAACTCATATTATTGTTGGGAGGATTAAATGAGATAATATTTGTAATAGCTGTCAGTTCCTGACCCATAGGAAGCCTCAAAAAAAAAAAGTTTGTTTTTTTTTCCTGGTTGAACAAAGTTTCTCAAAGGAAAATTAGTTACTGGTTTGTGTAATTAGAGCTGTCAGAGCTGATCCTTGTGCTTCTAAATAGAGTTGTCAGATCATGGCAAATTTAATATAACAAGCATAAGAAATGTGAGCAGTATCACGGATGGGGGATTAAGGTAAAAGGTCCCAGGCTAAAATGAAATGAAAAAAAAAAAAAAAAAGTATGTCACCCAGGTTGTGTTTTCCCTTTCTTTTACGTAATTGTAATTTTCCACTGATCGTGACCTTCATTGAGAAGGAAAAACACTGAGCAGTCCTACCAGACCAAAGTGTTTCCTTTCATTATTTCTAGGCCCTCCTGCAAAGTTTTCTTTGCTGCGGATCCCATCAAAATAGTGCGAGCCCAGGGGCAGTACATGTTTGACGAGAAAGGTGAACAGTACTTGGATTGCATCAACAACGTAGCCCACGGTAACGTGCTGTCTTTGTCGTGCCTTGAAGGATGCGTTTCTGGAGTAAGGCAGACTTGGCACCGTTGATATTTGTCCCAGGAATTGCAGTGGCTGCAGTTCCTCGGCTGAACAGGGCCAGTAGTCCTAGGCGGGGAAGAGCTAGAGCAAAATGTGGGAGAGGAACAGAATCAACCTTTATTTTTTTGCTTGTTTCAGAATGCCCCTCACTTCCCAGGCATTTAGATTTGTAACTCATTTTGGGGACTTTTGTCTTCTAAATTTTAGTGGGACACTGCCACCCAGAAGTGGTCAAAGCTGCCCAGAAACAGATGGAACTACTAAATACAAATTCTCGATTCCTCCACGACAACATTGTTGAGTATGCCAAGCGCCTGTCAGCAACCCTGCCGGACAGACTCTCTGTGTGCTATTTTACAAATTCAGGGTATGTTCTGAGGTTTTCCACCCATCCCCATTCCCACCAATCTCTTTGTTTCCTCTCTTTTCTGTTTGATTGCTGGTGGAGCACAAATATCTAAAAAGGTTTCCCAAGATTCTTGCCGTTTACTAATGACCCCACATGGGGGACCTGACCATTCTGGTTCTTTTGCTTTGACCCACCAGCCCTTTGTAGATAAGATACCTGACAGCATGTTCCAGGACTCCTGACACAGCCTGTAACAACAGTCCCATGATTAACAAGTGCATGCCACTCAGCTTTTTATTACCACAGCTTCCTTGGTGAAAGATGGGGAAAGCATACCCTTAAGTATCCCTAAAGGATGGATTACTTGCGTTGTAACAAAATATTGGCAAAAATATCCAAGTCTGGTGTTCGTGTGAGAAAACCTAACTAGTCAAACGGCACCCACTTCTTTGGGCAATAGAGTAAGTAGCTAAAGAAGCTAGATGAACCTAGATAGTTCTTTCAAAGCATGAATAAGGAATTTTGGCAAAAAAAGAACTACTAAACAAGTTATATAAGTATTATAAGATTTTTGATTGATTTGTTTCCTTAGGCAGTAAGCATTTCCCCAACACAAACACAAAGAAGGAATGAGTCAATTCAAGTGAATAGATATGTCCATTCTATGGAATATTATACAGACATTAAAAAGTATGTTTTTGAAAATACATGTTTAATGACAGGAGAAAAGCTCACCTGTACAATGTTATAGTGGGAGGAAATCTGTCTATACAGCATACATTTAAAATGATATGTATGAGTTAAAACTATTAGAAATCCTGTGAATGTTCTATTATGATTCTGTGATCCATTTTCTCTTTTCAGTGAGATACCTTAAAATCCAATAACCAGAAGATTGGTTTATAACCAGAAGATTTTTCTTTTTTCTTTGTAAAGAATTAGGACATTTTCGGATCTAATTTGTTGTTCTAAGGCATTCTTGCCTTCAATAAATTAAATATAATATTTGACTTTCACTTATGAAGAATCCTATACTGTCAAAGAGTGATTAGCCTTAGAGAGAGAGCAGTGTCACCAAAGACTGGAGGTGACAGGACCTGGAGTAGTACAAAGAATAATCTCGAAGTTAAACAGACTTTGGAATCCTCAACTTTGTAAATAATGGTTTGAAAGATTTTTAAAAGGGCTTATGTCACATTGTCCCTTTCTCTCTGCTCTCTTAATAGATCTGAAGCCAATGACTTAGCCTTACGCCTGGCTCGGCAGTTCAGAGGCCACCAAGACGTGATCACTCTTGACCAGTAAGTCTTGAACACAAGACTTCTAAGCAGGAAATGCCTTCAGAGACAAAATTATATTGATCCTCTCCATACTAATACCATAAGCATGTATGGAGGAGGCTGGATATATGGCACAAGGATTTTCTTTTTTGTTACGTATAGGTGTCAAGGCCAGCTCAGGCCTAAGGACACTTAATTCCTTCCAAGTACTTAGAGGCTCTTTTGGGTGCTGTGGTCATGGTCTCATGGGCTTTGCATGAATCAGGGTTTACTTTTCACACATTTAACTGTTAATTGAGCCACTGCAATGTGTGTGTAACTCCATCTTTTTCAGAATAAAAATATAATTTCTTAAAAATCCAAGCATTCATGTCACAATTGTGATTATTCACCTAATTAATTTAAAAGATAACAATTTAGAGCATATTTTTTTTCTTTTTTTGGCCACACCATGCAGCTTGTGGGATCTTGGTTCCTCGACCAGGGATTGAACCCGGGCCCTTGGCAGTGAGAGTGTGGAGTCCTAACCACTGGACCTCCAGGGAACTCCCTAGAGCAAATTTTAAAGACAACAGATAGCCAAGTGAAAATAGTTCTTTCTCATTAATTTGTGATTTTTAATAGTCACTATTTAGTTTTACTTCTCAAAAATGAATTCATTATATTTTAAACAAGAAATTTGATAACTTCCATCTTCAGTGAGATTTAAAATTTTTTTCTACCTCTCCACCCCACTGATCTCAGACACAAAGGGTTGAATTGAACAGGCACCTCATTTCTTACCCTTCTATAGGCTTCTCTTGTTTTATGTGTTGGTTGGTGTATTCATTTTCTATTTTTGCTATAGCACATTATCATAAACATAGTGGCTTAAGCAACATAAATATATTCTCTTATAGTTCTAGAGGTCAGATGTCCAAAATGGGTCTCACTGGGCTAAAATCAAGGTTCAACAGGGCTGCACTCCTTCTGAAGACACTAGGGAAGAATCTGTTTCCTTGCCTCCACCTTCTAGAGGCTGCCTGCATTCCTTGGCTTGTGGTCCCCTCCTTCATCTTCAGAGCCAGACATTACATCACTCCAGCCTCTGCTTCCATCCTCACATCACCTCGTCTATCTCTGACCACCATCCTCCTGCTGCCTTCTTTCACTTATAAAGGTTCTTGTGATAACATTTGACCCTCCAGGATTATCGCGCCATTTCATGATCCTTAATTTAATCACATCTGCAAGGTCCCCTTTACCATGTAACATTCTTAGGTTCTGAGGCTTAGGACATGGGCATCTTTAGGGAGGGGAGGCGTGATTCTGCCTGCCTGCCACAGAATAGATACTGTGACTGCCCTTTACTCCCAGCTACCACAAGCAACACTGCAACGAGTGCCCTTGTACATGTGCCTTTATGAACCTTTCTGAGAATTTCTTGGGGATAAAGCACCCAGAAAAAAGATTGCTAGGCCATAGGGGTACAGGGTACGGTAAACATTGTTGATTTGACCAGATCCTGCCAGATCAGTCTCCAAGGCGGTTGCATGCTCTTCCCAGTGCGTGAAATGTCCAATTTTCACGTATCCTCACCAAAAACTAAGAATATCCTACCTTGTTTTTTTTTTTCTTAATTTTTGCCGTCTAATAGGTATAAAATGATATCAGGGTTGTTGGGTTTTTTTTTTAATTTTCAGGATTTTTTTTCCCTTTTCATAAATTTACTTATTTGTTTGTTTGTTTATTCTTGGCTGCGCTGGGTCCTCAGTGCTGCGCCCAGGCCCTCTCCAGTTGCCGCAAGCGGGGGCGACTCCCCACTGCAGTGCGAGGGCTTCTCATTGCGGTGGCTTCTCTTTGTTGCAGAGCACGGGCTTTAGGCATGCAGGCTTCAGTAGTTGTGGCTTGGGCTCTGGAGCACAGGCTCAGTAGTTGTGGCACACGGGCCTAGTTGCTCTGCGGCATGTGGGATCCTCCCAGACCAGGGATTGATCCCGTGTTCCCCTCACTGGCAGGCAGACCCTCAACCCCTGTGCCACCAGGGAAGTCCCTATCAGTGTTGTTTTTATTTGCAATTTCTAATTATGAGTTTGAGTATCTATTCATATGCTTATTATGCATTTGTGACTTCCTTTCTGAGAATTACCTGTTTATATTCTTTGCCCATTTTTCTGTTGGGATTTCCATCCTTGCTTTTGCATGCATAGTTTAGATGAGAGGATCTCAGCCTTGACTGTGTTTTAGAATTACCTGGGGAAATTTTCTTTTCTTAATGCCAGTGCCCAGGTCCCACTCCAGACCAATTAAAGTGAATCTCTAGGGACTTCTCTGGCAGTCCAGTGGTTAAGACTTGAGTTCTCAACACAGGGGTTGCTGGTTTGATTCCTGGTCGGGGAACTAAGATCCTGCATGCAGCACGGCTCAGCCAAAAAAATTTAAAAATTAAAAAAAGAGAGAGGGCTTCCCTGGTGGCGCAGTGGTTGAGAGTCCGCCTGCCGACGCAGGGGACGCGGGTTCGTGCCCCGGTCCGGGAGGATCCCACATGCCGCGGAGCGGCTGGGCCCGTCAGCCATGGCCGCTGAGCCTGCGCGTCCGGAGCCTGTGCTCCGCAACGGAAGAGGCCACAGCAGTGAGAGGCCCGCGTACCGCAAAAAAAAAAGAAGAAAAAAAAAAAAAGAGAGTGAGAGAAAATCTCTAGAGGTGGATTCCAGGAAACGGTATAGATTTTAAAGTTTCCCAAGTGATGCTAATATGCAGATAGACTTAAGAACCACCATTTGAACATTAATCTCTTTTAGTTTGAGACATTTCAAATGTTTTTTCCCAATCTATCATCTGTCTTTTAACTTTGTCCATGGTATCGTCCAACCTCCAAAAATTTGATTAAATCAAATAGTTGACATTTTCATCCTATGGTTTGGTTTTCTAAGTTTTGTTAATATCTCTCCCCACACACACACCCATCCCCACCCCTCAGATCACAAAGATGTTCTTCTTTATTTTCTTCTACTGCCTCTATAACTGCTCTTCATATTGACTCCACCAAGAGGCCGCTGTGTTACCATTTATGTACGGCTGTGTCTCTGAGCTCACTTCTGTCCCAGTCGTGACTTTGTTCTTATTCCAATACCATACTAATTTCATTACTATGGCTTTGTAGCATGTTTTAATCTACGGTAGGGGAAGTCCTCCCTCTTTGCTTTATCTATTCGTGGGCCTTTTATAATTTCTTTTCCAGGCCTCCCAATTATATAGCTCTGGGCAAGAAACATAAAAGGGAATATCATAGCCATCTGTATTTTAAGTGAAAGAAAGGAATTTCATAGCCACTTGATTACCTCTTAATCTTAGTTCTCTTAGAAAAGACCTCCTGTTCCTTACCAACTTTCATTTGAGCAATTGGATATCCCTTTGAAACCATCCCAGACAGAAACACAGCCCATTCTGTGATATAAAGTTGTTTTTAAAATTTACTAGAATGTAACTATCAAATACATTTAAAGAATACATACATCTGAAATTTCTCATGAAGCTATAGAAATTAATGTTTTACATTTAGATAATCTAATTTAGCAGAGCTAATGCAATCCAAAGAAATTAAGTTTTTTCCTGCTAAAAATAACTGTCTATGAGGTTACATACTTGGCTTTCTATGTGTTTTATTACCTGGATCAGGAGAGTGGGACAAATTAATGGCCAGTCCTACCGTGAAAAATTAGATTCCATATAGTTAAATCTGGCACCAATGTTGAGATTCTCCCTGGATGATGTGCAGTACTATTTTTCATATACTAGAGAAGCATCCTTCTTTGAGTGATTTTGGTTACCGTCCTTTTTCTTTTCAGTGCTTACCATGGTCACCTATCATCTTTAATTGAGATCAGTCCATATAAATTTCAAAAGGGCAAAGATGTCAAGAAAGAATTTGTGCATGTGGTAAGTATCTTGGAATCCAAGAATCAGAATGTTACTACTGGAAGAGTGCCCAGTGATAACCCAGTCCAATCCTTGCATTGAGATGAAACCATGAAAAAGGAAACTAAGATCTAGAGCAGTTACAGATCTTTAGCAAAGATCTGTTTGCTAAAGTCAAAGAGCTAGTTAATGACAAGATGTGGTTTAAAATCCATTGATGAGTACCATACAAATTAGTATAGAGGTAGTGATAGCTCTTATTCACAGCTCTCATTTTATTTTTCTTGCCCCTTGATGCTTAAATTACTTTTTCTATCGCTGAAGCCTATTTGAAACTCAGAGTTGCATCAAGTGTGTATGACTGTCTTAAAATTACTCTATGCTAAATTATTATGTAAATTTATTAAGTAAAATAAATATCATGTAACAAAGAAAATAAAGAAACCAAGCTGTTGAAACAGTAAAACTCATTTGGCTTAATTAAGGATCAGTAGACTTTTTTAAGAGAATCATTAATACATTCTTTCAAAATTTTAAGATCTGAAATTAGTGCTAAGGCACTCTAGCTTTCTGAATGATTACAGTTTGCTATATAGTTGGTAAGGGTTGGTTTATTTTCAATATAGAATTGTTAATACAGTTTCCATGCATTGAAATTTTCAAATAACATAATCACACTTGTTGTTTGAATTTGTCCCTTATGTGACTAGAGATGCAATCTTGACTTCTAAGGGCCTAGGAGCAAATCCAAGTTCCTGTTCACAATGCTAGATTTCAAGTCTCACAGAATTCAGAAATGTTAAGGAAAAAGAGCAAAAGAACCTAGAGTCACTTAAGTCCACGAGTCACCTTTCTACAATATTATGCTCCTGGAGGGAAAGACCCTTTCTTAAAAGCTCATTTGTCCAGGAGACAAATCATGAGAAACTGTTATCTTTTGATGTTTTCAGGCACCAGCTCCAGATACTTACAGAGGAAAATACAGAGAAGACCATACAGACCCGGCCAGTGCTTATGCCGACGAAGTGAAGAAAATTATTGACGAAACTCATAACAGTGGAAGGAAGGTTTGTATTTATAGCTTTGGAAACACTTGAATATCTTTTATAAAATAGATTGAAATCATTGTGATACATTGGAGAGGTGGGAAAGGATTAGATCTCAAATCGCTTTCTGTTCTTCTCTAGTTACGTTTTTACTTAGTTCATATTTCAAAAAGTACATTATTATAGTCATGCCTCTAAGACTATTTTTATTTATCCTGGAAATGTAATTACTATACCTGTTTCAGAACTGGTGGGCTAATTCTGACTTTCCCACTGGGATGCAGACTCTGGTCCAAAGTGATAGGAGGAGAAAATTAAGAAAGGTGATAGCTCACGGACAGAACATTCCAACTGAGAGTAGCACGAGGGGCTAATATAAGGTGAAGGGAGGGAAGAGGCAGGGTGGCCCTGGGGCCTTGGGGCCACTGCAGACTCCTGGACCCGGGGAGCCTTGGCTCTTCCCTAGAACTGGGTCAACTTTCCTGAAACCGAAGAGCCTGCGTAAGACAAGGCAGGAACATGTTCTTCCAATTTGGGTCTGAACTTCTAAAACAAACCAGAATCCTCCCAACTAGGAAAAAAAGAGTTTCCATTTTCTCAGTCTTCACCCTACTGTCTTTAGCTTAACGGTAATTCTCAGCCCCTTCAGGGGTTACTTACATGGAGTTACTTACGTGATTTGACACATGCTTTGCCTTTCAATTGGCTTATGGCATCAACATGGCAATAAAAAAAGCTTTTTAATTGAGATAAAAATGAAGCCTGTGTGTTTTCCAGTTCAAGTATTTTTATCTTAATGACTGGAAAGTCATTTGCCTTTCTTAACTATTTCTTCTTTTCTTCCCTTTCGTTTTTCATATCTTAAAAGACGTAGTCTGGACTAGAACGTTAGTTCCCCCCCTTTTTTTTCTTAATTGAAGTATAGCTGATTGCTTGACTTCTTATCTCATACTATTTCTATGCTTTCTCTTAATTTAGTGTTACCTGTTTTTATGTCTCCTTTCTTAGCCTCTAGAACACATCCTCTTTAGTTCCTTTGTGAACTGCCTGATTTTGTTAAGTTGTAAGCCTGGTTCAGGGCAAGAACCAGAAATATAGCACAATAACTAAGGTTCGTGGCCACCAGTCACCCTTTCATCTCCTTAGTGCAAATTCCAGGTTCGGGCAGTCCTAATTTACCAAGCTGAGCAAACAGGCACCCCAGTGATGTGTTTGGAACCTGGGTAAATTTTTAGAGGTTCATATTAAAGACTAATCAAAACATCAGTCTTATTCAGTTGTTCCTAATGAAAACACTGCATTTAAATTAATAATGGAGAACTGGAAGGCACCCTCTCCACCATTTTCTCGTGATGGTTTCACTGGTACCCTAAAATTTCAGAAACTAATGCTTCAGAATTCTTGCATTTCCAGCGTGGACATCTTTTTAATCAAATGGCCAATTTGTCTCTTGCCATGGATCCATTCCCAACCATTTTTTAAGTCACCTTCTCCGTAAGAAGTCCTCTTTTTTTAGGGGGTAACGGGAGGAGGACCTAATGGACTTTGACCCCATCTTTTCTTGTATAGATTGCTGCCTTTATTGCTGAATCCATGCAGAGTTGTGGCGGACAAATAATTCCTCCAGCAGGCTACTTCCAGAAAGTGGCAGAGTATGTACTTGGGCATCCTTGGTCAAACTGAAGGCACTGTGACAATTCTGTAGGGCCATCCTGGTTGTTAAGATATTGAAATACTTCCAGACTAGCTGGTAAATAGCCACTTGGGAGTGCCTGCCACCCAGGACTCCTGGAACTCCTCCACCTTCCCAAGATCCAGCAAATAAAGGGTTTACACAAGGTCCAGCAGGGCAGCCTCCAGAGCTGTGCTCCCACTACCCACCTGGCCTCTTCTCTGATTAGTTGGTGTCCAAGCTTTACTAATCAGTAAAAATTTGACGATTAAACCTGCTGAACACTACTTCTTGTTCACTTCTTTTTCTTCCCTATTAAAATACTGCAGTAGGGCTTCCTTGGTGGCGCAGTGGTTGAGAGTCCACCTGCCGATGCAGGGGACGCGGGTTCGTGCCCCGGTCCGGGAAGATCCCACATGCCGCGGAGCGGCTGGGCCCGTGAGCCATGGCCGCTGAGCCTGCGCGTCCGGAGCCTGTGCTCCGCAACGGGAGAGGCCACAACAGTGAGAGGCCCGCGTACCGCAAAAAAAAAAAAAAAAAAAAAACTTTAGTAGAGCTTACTTTAAGTAGCACAAACCCAAACAATATAGAATATATCTAATCTGGAAATTATGTGATTATGTTTCAAAGTCAATGATATCACATAGATGTCATTGGGGATTTGAACACTGAAATGTTTTTAACAAAGATTATAGACTTCAGGTTAACAACATTTTTAAAGTTTTCAATAGTCTGTATCTTATGGGAGGGTTTGGGGACTCTCAGTGACCTGAAGGCATCAGGCTGCCCTTTTGCTTTTCAGATATGTACACGGAGCAGGAGGTGTGTTTATAGCTGATGAAGTTCAAGTAGGCTTTGGCCGAGTTGGGACACATTTCTGGAGCTTCCAAATGTTTGGTGAAGATTTCGTTCCAGACATCGTCACAATGGGAAAACCAATGGGCAATGGCCACCCAGTGGCATGCGTGGTAACAACCAAAGAAATCGCAGAAGCCTTCAGCAGCTCTGGGATGGAATATTTCAATACGGTAAAATTTGACCTCCCCACTTTAATGCTAAGACGGAAAAATAATGCATGTTCTTATGTTTCTTTCCAATGTAATAAAGAATAAATCTCACTGTTGCCAGCTAACCACGCCAGGACCCTAGCCAAATTTTGATCTAACCATATTTCATTCTATCTGACACAATCCTCCTTGTATTTTTTTCTTGTGTATCTTTCCCCTTCCTAAAATGTTTCTATTAATTGTTCCAATGACAGATGGCTGCCCTGCTAAACTCTAGAGGTTATGATATTTCATTAACAGATAATATGATCTTTTTTGTTTTGTGTCACATTTAAATTCCCAAAACACTTCACTTAGATGATTCACTACTATAAATGTTACAGGGCTGTCATAGGAGATACTAACTAAAATTCTATCTTTGGGAAATTTTATTTCCTTGATTTTACCCCTAAAAGTTATAAGCTTTAAGTTTGGAAAGGTTATTCTAGTTTGTGCAGTATGTATAATAGGACTTGTTACAGCTAAAAGTTAGAGTCAAATCTAAGAACATAAATTATTTGGAGAAAATGTCATTGCTTAGGTTTTTTCACACAGATATTCAAGCACTGAAACCCACATCCCCCTAACTAAACCACACTCTAAAATCCTTAATTCCCAACACAATGTCTGTTTTTCATTTGGACGAACTTATAAATTCCCCAATAATCCTTCATACCAGTTTTGCAGCTATATATAATTTAGAATTTTATTCTCAATCTTAAATGAATAGAATCATGTTATATTCTAAATCTAAGAAACTGATATCACAGGGGAAATTTTTATTGAAATTATATCTTTACTTGCTCATGTATGAGCCAAATTTCTCATAGATGAAGCAATACCACAAATTCAACTATTCTATTTTCTCATTTATCGTTTTTCCACAGTATGGAGGAAATCCAGTATCCTCTGCTGTTGGTTTGGCCATCCTGGATGTAATTGAAAATGAAGACCTTCAGGGAAATGCCACAAGAGTAGGGAATTATCTTACCAAGTTACTGAACAAGCAGAAGGCTAAACATACTTTGATAGGAGATATCAGGTATATTTATCGTAAAGTTGTCGTGCAGTTATTCATTTGTCCAAATGAAAATTTGTTATATTTTATCTTATAAATCTAAAACAAGTTAACACAAAAGCAGATCTAGAAACACTGAAAAAACAAAACTCATTTTTCCATCCAGAACCCAGATATCATCACTGTTAACTTTTGGGTATATATCTTTCCTGATTTTTATACTTTTTTGGAAAAAATTAAGCCAGGATCATTTCAGCAGGCAAAAGACGAGAAGAAGGAACTTAAGGTAACTCTAAATGATCTATTAAAAATATTAAAAATGACATCCAAGAAAACTCACTATTTTTCATATATATATGAAAACATTTTCATATATATATGTAAAGATTAAAGATTTGTCATAGTTGATGTCTTGAGAAGTTAAATAGCATGACAAGGTTGTTTTTAAGCCTTATCATTTTTTTTTTTTTACAATTAAGAGAAGAAAGAAAAACTGGTTGACAAAAACTAACTTGATTCAAAAACTAGGAAGTCCTGTGGACACTAGATTGGTATCTTGGATTAATTAGAACTAATAACAACTACCCTTTAAAGAGAATCACATTCAGCTTCAAATCAAACTGAAGTTTGAGGACAGTGTTAATTTTTTGTGACCATGCAGTGCTTAATAAAGTGTGTCAAGTTCCCTTTCTTTACCCCCCTCAGGGGCGTTGGCCTTTTTATTGGAATTGACTTAGTGAAGGACCATCAGGAAAGGACCCCCGCCACAGCTGAAGCTCAGCACATCATCTACAAGTAAACACACCCCTCACCGTTTGGTATCTTGGCTTGAATGCTTTTTTTTACTTCCTCTCATCTCCCCAAATGAGACAAGCTTAAGACTCGTGCAATTACAAATGTGGGCTTCTTGCATGCGAATATGAAAGTGCTCTCTGTTCACATCCTTCTGAAATAATCTTAGTTATCACTTATATGCACTCGCATGTATTTCCTGCACTCATTAGGATGAAAGAAAAGCGAGTGCTTCTCAGTGCCGATGGACCTCACAGGAATGTGCTTAAAATAAAACCACCTATGTGCTTCACTGAAGAAGATGCCAAGTTTATGGTGGACCAGCTGGATGAGATTCTAACAGGTCTGTCCACAGATCTTTAAATAAGATGCCCTCACCCACACTCTGGTCAGACATGACAGTGCAACTTGCACTGGCAGAAGTGAAGGAGGGTGGAAATGATTGTATACACTTATATTATCATTTATTTTCACTTTTTAAAAATAATTGCATGTCTTCATTGTACCATGCACCACAGACGCTGCAGTGTAAGAGTCTTTGAGCTTTGTACTATGAAAATATGGGAAATGCTGTTAATAAAAATTGTAAGCTAGGGACCTCCCTGGCAGTCTAGTGGTTAAGACTTCGCCTTCCAATGCAGGTGGTACAGGTTCGATCCCTGGTCAGGGAGCTAAGATTCCATATGGCTCAGGGCCAAAAAAACAAAACATAAAACAGAAGGAATATTGTAACAAATTCAATAAAGACTTTAAAAATGGTCCATATCAAAAAATCTTAAAAAAGAAATATATATATAAAGGTTATAGGTTAATATAGTTATATAGTTATCATTTGACTTTGTATTTCACTTATTACAATTTAATTTTTGAAGACTTATGTTTGTCATTCAGAATTATAGCCTGTCATAGGAATTCATCTTTTGTTTACCTCTGTTAAATAATTAGGTTCATTTATTTTTCTGTTATGAGCATAAATTGAGATTAACAAGTAAGGTAACAATGTAAAACCATATTGAAACACATAAAGCACTGTCAAATGTTAGAGCTTTTAGTCATATTTTTAAGATTCTACTTCTCTGCTCCCTCTCAGCCTCTTGGGGTTGGGATAAGGCTAAGCTAGGAATCAGTACAGCATACAAAATAGATCATTATTATTTGGAAAGTTGAGAGTCAGCCCCAAGTTATTCGTAATACGGTCACTGTCTTTGGACCAAAAGACACCCAAACTTGGCCAGCAGTCCTGATGCCTCTGGTGCCTTGAAGGGACAGGTGGAAGAGACTATAGGTTGGGGCAAATCCATCACTATTACTTAAAATTCAGCTCAGAGCTTGAGCATTTTTAGTGGTGTGGCTAAAGAATTCTTTTTTAACAAAGTGAGCAAGGCAGAGCTAACATAGGCTCAGCGCCGCTTGTAACGATGAAATGCTACAATAAAAGTTTAAAAGCAGCTATTGTAACAGTGACACTTTTTAAAAGCATGTACCTCTCTAGTTTTCTTTCAGGGTGTCCCTCTAGTTACCAAAATAGGGTAGGGTGGTTTTTTTTTTTTTTAAGGACTTTTATGTTCTTCTGTCTTGTCCGTTGTATCTTCCTTGACATAGGTTTAGAAGAAGCTGTCGGAGCCAAAACTGAGAGTGTGATCTCTGAGAATACTCCGCGCAGAACCAAGGTGAGAGGCAGTTACTTCATATTTAGGGCAAAAGTTTAAAATGGGGGGAATTTAAGAAAAAGGAGTGCAAATTTAAAAAAATTGTAAAATGACCTCTAGAATAAAACCCACCTTTGCTAGAGGTGGCTTACTGTTACAATTCTGAGTGCACAGTTAAGGCAAGCGCCTCACCACTTGACATGAATAAAGCCAAAGAACCATTCTTCCAGGATCATTCCTACACTCCGCCCCCCCGCCAGAAAAAGTCCAAAAACCCCCTCGGGCTTGCAAAGAGGGCCTTCAAAATATAGAGAGAGATAACAGATGTCCTAAGCTCCTTCCTGTTTGTCTGAGGGATGTCTGACACTGACTCAAAGTCCCACACACCGCTCTTTAGTCAGCAAAAGCATCAGCAGTGTGACTCCAAAGTGTCAGAGTCTGGTCCTCAAGTGAACTAAAGAAGAAACTTCGACTGGCGGCGGGGCCTGGGAACCATTTGGCATGGAGCGGCCTAGTTTCTGCATTTGATGTGCTTCTAGCAGAGGGCTTCCCCATTCTCTCCCTGAGCTGCCCAGGGTGTGAGAAAGCGCTCCCTTGGTCGGGAAACAGAAAGGCAAAACCTTGAGAGCCTTTGTTGCATAATTAATTATTTGTTTATGACTTCGATGCATAAAGGAACACTCAAGCCCGCCTGCACATCCAGGGTAGTCAGCAAAGTCCTTTTCCTGAGTGAAAAACATGAGGCCCTTTCAATGAGAGAGCAAGAGATTTGCTAACAGCATGCTTCTGTCTCTTGGTGCAAACACAAACCAATGCTAGAAATCACTGCCTCTCTGCTGCCTGAGAGTGGCTTATTGAGTCTGGGACAGAATCACAACTGTCAGGACCAAGCAAGCATTGAAAAGGAGCTTACAGGGACTTGGTCAGGGAACTAGATCCCACATGCCGCAGCTAAGAGTTCGCATGCTGCAACAAAGATCCCACATGCCGGCACAGCCAGATAAATAAATATATAAAAAAAAAAAAGAAGAAGAAGAAAGAAAGAAAAGGAGCTTACAAAAAAGGAGTTCCCACCAGAAATCCCACTTTGAAGTTAGCACGCGTTTCTGAAATTTTGGCTTGCAGTCCCAGATTTTAGGTTGACATCACATTTCAGATGTCTGTGGAAAGTAGTAGTAATCAGAGTTAGGGAGGAACAAGGGGCATTGCTGTGTTGTGTTGTGTTGTGTTGTATTCTCCCACGTGCCGTGTTGCCTGTTGGCCTGTGGAGTCAGCCCTGCAGAGCCTGGAGGCTGGGCGGGTTAGAGGCAGGCTGCCTGCTGGAGTTTCCATGTCTGTCTTGCAGATGCCTGAGGAAGCCCACTCGGAATCGCTCAGTGACGGCAGCCCGGACCCCAAAGAAAATCCCAGCCTAAAAAGAAATGGATTGTGCACAGATAAACATTCACTGCTCAGTAAGAGGCTCAAGACATGAGAGACGAGCATTTTACAGCAAGGTAAATGTCCGGAGTTACACAGAATGAATGGAAGTGTCCCTTCTGTTAAAGCTCTATTATACCCGCCAAAGGAAGACTCTGCATTCCATTCAGAGGTATAAATAAAGTAAATGAGTAATAAGAAAAATCCAAGTGATAATCAAACCCTGTCAAGATTTAGCCTCTAGCCTGTTAATTCCTTACTTGAGATTTCTGAAAGTACTTCATTTATTCTACTCAATTTCAGCTTCAAATGGAATATTTATTAAGTTGGAAGTTTTACGTCTCATGTTTTAATATTTGACACGACAGAGCAAAGTACAGTAGTAGGTTCCTGAACTTTGGAGACTATGAATTCTTTAATGATTTAATTTGTATATATTTATGGACTATAATAAAATAAAAGGTGATGTAAACCAAAAAAGTTTGACCAGAAAAATGTTTACCGTTCCTTTGCGGAGAACACTGGCGCAGTAAAATCAACGCCACTTGGAAAAAAATCACATACAGCAAATGTGAAGAAGTGAATGAATAATTTGGACTTTTGTTGGGGAACTAGGTTAATCGTGGTCCTGTGGGGACGAGGGTGGAGGTGAAGAGGCCAAACAAGGAGTACATCTAGAAACAGTCCTAAACATGCTGTTGGGAGACCTCAGCTCTGACTACTCAGACTGTCACCTTGGCAAGTCACTTACCTGTTAGGTGAGAAATTAACTTTCCACCAATCATCTTCCTCTTCTCATCCAGCTTATCACCTTTGCACAACCCCTGACACATAGAGGTACACACATTTCTAACCAGAGATAGGCAAAGGGAAGTGAGGAAACCCAGAACCTCAAGAATCTCTTCCTTAAAAGTCCTGGTGCCGGGCTTCCCTGGTGGCGCAGTGGTTGGGGGTCCACTTGCCGATGCAGGGGACGAGGGATTCGTGCCCTGGTCCGGGAGGATCCCGCGTGCCGCGGAGTGGCTGGGCCCGTGAGCCATGGCCGCTGAGCCTGCGCGTCCGGAGCCTGTGCTCCGCAACGGGAGAGGCCACAACAGTGAGAGGCCTGCGTACCACAAAAAAAAATAATAAAAATATATTAATATGAATTCTATCTTCTCTGTCTTTTCTTGCCTGCCTTCAGAGTGTGAACTACCTAAATGAAACAGTTTTTACTCCACAGGCCAGGGACCCATTCTAGGGATGACTCCAACTGCCAAGTATGTCCATCCCAATCATACTTTTGGGGACTGAAGAAACAACCATAGGTGGCTTTTTTTAAGAAATATATTTATTTATTTATTTTGAACTTATTATTATTTTTTTGGCTGCATCGGGTCTTAGTTGTGGCACGCAGCATCTTCCATTGCGGCGCACAGGCTTAGTTGTCCCACAGCATGTGGGATCTTAGTTCCCTGACCAGGGATTGAACCGGCATCCCCTTCATTGGAAGGCAGATTCTTAACCGCTGGACCACCAGGGAAGTCCAGGTGGCCTTTTCTAGTGAAGCCTTGAAGAGCAGTGAGTTTCTTGCCGACATCCTTCTGAGAAGGGTTGGCACTCACCTGACTGAATGGGAAGACCTCCTTTGGGGCAGTACAGGTGAGCAGGTACAGAGGCTTTACCCTGGACTGACTGTGAATAGAGGGTGGAGGGGTGCTCCTCAGGGAGAGCAAGGGGAAAGCTCTATTTCCAAGACAGAACAACAAGCTAAAGTAGAAAAGAAAATTCAAGACTTTCTCCTCATTGTTCTGAAATAAGGCATCTATGCCTTGTTGAATTCCAAGCCTACATCTTGTTAGGTTTATTCAGAGGCATTTGATGTATTTTGGTGCCGCTGTAAATAGCATCTTTTTAAATTTTTGTTTTCCAACTGTTCTCCGTGTTTGGAAGTTCAGTTGATTTTTGCATAATTGACTGATTTCAGTAAACTAGCTAAACCCACTTGCAAATTCCAAAAATTGTCCATTCTTTTGGATTTGTACATATGTAATTACATCGTCTGAGAATAATGACAGTTTTATTTATTCTTTTGTCATCCCTATATCTTTTGTTTTTTCTTTTGCTTTACCCCACTGGCTAGGACATCTAATACGATCATCACCAAAATTGGTGATGGTAGACACCCTTGTCTGGTTGCATCTCAAAGAGAAAGTGTTCAACATTTTACCTCTAAGCCTGGTGTTTCTCCCCCTTGGCGCTCCGTACGGTGGAAGCGTAGGATCTTAACCACTGGACCACCAGGGAAGGTCCCACCCAGCGTTTTAAAACATCGTTCCCTTGTGCTGTCAGAAAAAAAGAAAAAAGAAAAAAAAGTCTTTAAAAAAATTATAAAAAGAAAGTAATCATGGAATGGCAACCACAAGAAACCTGTCTACATAAGACACACATCTACTCTTAGGCAGGAAACGATGAAGTGCGCTCCGAGGTGTCAACTTGAAAACACCCACACATCCCACCCAGATGCTGAACAACTGTGGGTTCCTTCCCCTCAGAGACTGCGGTTGAAGAAACTATGGTGAGAAAATGGAGGAAACAGACCTCCCTGGATGGGAGTGTTTTGAATTTGGTGTCAGACTGTGGGGCTAGGGTGGTCCAGGAAGGAGGCCGTCCAGCTCAGTGTGGAAAGGAGAAAATAGGAGGGGATATGGTTGGGCTCTGCCCTGGCTCCACCCTCGCCAGTGCCTTGGGACACCCAGTGCCTTCGGACCTCAGCTCCAGGTGTCCCCAACAGTAATAGCACAGTTTAAAAGGTCAGGATGAGAAAGGTAGGTGGGGGTTAACTGACCTCAGGCAGTTACTTTCCCACCACTCCTCCATTTCCAAGCTCTTGGGGCAAGGAATGACATCCAATCTCCCTCTTAAAGCTGCTTCTCCCTCGGGGGGTAAAGCCTGGAGGAGTTATCCTGTGGAGGGCGAGTGCCTGACTGGGTTTCTGAAGGCTGCTGCTCTCCACCTCAGAGCTCTTCCACCCCCAGCCCAGCCCAGCCCCATTCCCTGAGCTTGAGGGTTCTGAACAAATACATTGCCCCACTGCTTTGGCTGTCCTTTTCTACATCTCTATTGCACATTGCACTAATTTCTGTGGAGTGTGTGCTTAGGACTGAATCGCTGAGTGCTTAGGGTATGTGCGTGTTCAACTTTAGTAGGCAATGCCAAACTATTAGCAGAGTCGTTACCCCAATTTATATTCTTACCAGGAATTTATAAGCGATCCTGCAGATCCCTGTCTTCTCCGGTATTTCATGTTGTCAGCAGGGCCGTTCATAACAGTAAAAACCTGGTAACACAAATGCCCCTCAGTGGTGAAGTAGATTAACAAACTATGGAAGATGGACAACACACCACTGAAAAGTTATGAACTGCAATGCCACACAGCAATATGGATAAATTTTATCAATATAATCATAGGTGAAAGATAAGTCCAAAAGGTTACATACAGCAGGATACCCCCTATTATAAAGTTGAAAACTGTACATGTTACCTGAAAAACTGGGTTCACCTCTTGGTAGGTGTTGAGCCAAAAGGTACAACCAAGCCAAAGACTGGGAGAAGGGAGAGGACCATATTTTCACTAACACTGGCTTAAAGGTTTGAAACAAGAGGGGTGCTCATGTAGCTAAGGAAGTTGCCATTGAGGGGTCAGTGATGGAGCGATTAAGAGCCAATTTTACTGTGGACAGATTAAACCTTATAAATTATAAGTCAATTAGGGAAAGGAATTTCTTCCTTTTTATATGTTTGGTACGTATTATTTCTGAGAATTTATGTTGGTCCTTGGGAGATGCATATAGGTGTGTGTGTGTGTGTGTGTGTGCATGCATGTGTGTGTGTGTGTTTATCTTCCAACAGGTACCTCATGGACACTTAAAAGAATAACAAGTGTATCTGCATAAATCATCCTGGCAAGAAGTCCTTAAAAAAGATTGGACTCCAGTGGACCGATAACCACCCTATGTGCATCTTCTGGAATTGGCATGACAAAGCCCACTGCACACTATCCTGACGCCAACTAGACTACTCATGGTTGAATCTAAGTTTTTCCCTTTTTACAAAATATAATGGTGCAGAGTGACCCTTAAGGTGGAGGGGAAAACTGGCATTAAGATTTCCAACATTATGAAAGTACTCCCAAATTTATCTTCTCTAAATTAAATAAACCCATTTATTTCAGACTTTCCTCATAGAAACCTGTTTCCCAAGCACTGATTTATTTTTTTAATAAATCAAGTTTAATTAAATTCAAGTTTAATTACATATGAATTTACAAGTTAAATTACAAGTTTAATTACATATGAATTTAATTAAATTCAAGTTTAATTACATATGAAGTATAATTTATACATAGTAAAATTGACTATTTTAGGGTATGTAGATGGATAACAGTATATTCATATTTGACAAACATATAAGAAGAGTGCAGAAGCAGACTAAACCCCTTCTTTCTGATCTATGGTCAATGTGTTTGATTCCAGGAGCCATGGTTGCACCCATAGAGTGGCTCAGCTTCAGACCTAAAATGGATTTGAGAAGGTAGGGGTAGAGAATCTCCTGTTTCTACAGAAACACTCAGAGACACTCTTCACTTATAATCAAGTCTTTTTTTATTATGATTCAATTATTTATTTATTTATGGCTGTGTTGTGTCTTCCTTGCTGTGTGCGGGCTTTTCTCTAGTTGCGGCAAGCGGGGGCTACTCCTTGTTGCGGTGCGTAGACTTCTCACTGCGGTGGCTTCTCTTGCCGAGGAGCACGGGCTCTAGATGCACGGGCTCAGTAGCTGTGGCTCACGGGCTTAGTTGCTCCACGGCATGTGGGATCTTACTGGACCAGGGATCAAACCCGTGTCCCCTGCATTAGCAGGCGGATTCTTAACCACTGCGCCACCAGGGAAGTTCCTATATCAAGTCTTGATAAGGAAATGTGAGGGTCAATTGTTTCTGTGGACAACACATGAGCTGGGTGTTTTCTTAATACCATTCAGGTTCAAGAGTGCCAGGTTGAGACTCCACACTACACTTGAGTCAAGAACCAAAGTTCAATTCTTCGGAAAATCTGGGCCTTCCTAGCTCTTGGAGTCCACAGTCAGATGCATGACAACTCAGGGTTAATTTAATCTTCTTTATTCTAACCATTGAGGTCCTGATGCACCTGCTTTAAAAGGAGCAAGGTGATGAATTTTCTCTGATATTCAAAGTTATAAAAACAAGGACTTCCCTGATGGTCCAGTGGCTAAGACTCCATGCTCCCAATGCAGGGGGCCCAGCTTTGATCCCTGGTCAGGGAACTAGATCCCACATGCCGCAACTAAGGGTCTGCATGCCGCAACTAAAGATCCCACACTTGGCAATGAGGATCCCGCATGCTGCAACGAAGACCCGGCACAGCCAAATAAATAAATGTATATTTTTTAAGTTATAAAAATAAAAATCTGAAAAGTCA